TTTTAATTTGACAATTTCAACCTAACTCAACTTGTTAAGATATCTATTTTCGGTCAGATCGTCGTGAGTTYGAATTCATATATCCATATATTTTGTTGAAAAAAAGAGTATTTTATAAAACTATTTACATAAATAATATAAAATAATTATGTATTTTCAAATATGGTAGAAAAATTGAAATTTTACAAAATAGGACGGTTCAAATCAATATCAAAATAAAATGTAATATAAAAATACACCATAAGAAAAATTACACAAAAGGGAAGTTGTAACAGTTTGACAATACATATCAAATTGATGCTTTCTAGTAAAATCTCTCTATTTTTTTTATTTGGCTAACTAGTTCAATTGAAAGTATTAGAGTAAAATAGGAGAATAAGGTGGGTTTATTGAGTGAATAAAAAACAATTTATATACATATAAAAATAGTTAAGAAAAACGGTTTTTAAAATAACAGATGTTAAAATGAATGTTTTAAAAGATGTTAAAATGAATGTTTTAAAAGTTTAAGGACTCAAAATAAACAAACAAAAAGTATATAGACACTGAAAAAAAAACATCTTGAAAGTACAATAATCAAAATGAACCAAAATCAAATATAAATGGATTAAAATAGATATTTTCATAAAATAATTATTCATAGAGTTCATAGTTTAAGCAAACTGAAGTAAGGTATACGTCAGGAGCCAACAAACTCAAAGAAAAATCTGGAAAAAAAAAAGAAAAAGAAAAAAGAAACTCGAGTTTAAGCAACAATAATGTTCCAAGGAAGATAAAAAGAAAAGAGGCAAAGTTTTTGGAGCATATTGATGGCCACCAGACATTGCCGGCCAGAGAGGAGAAAGCCCCTACCGACCAAAAGATTTCGAGATCTTTGCTTTATACCTCTCTCATTTTGAGAGAGAAATTCCATCRCTCCTAAAATTCCAACATCTAATTTAAATTTAAATTCTTTAAATTAGGYTGAATTATAAATTTATATTGTTGGAGGTGATTTATCMAGCGTCATGTAAGTCMTTAGAAAGTGTCATGTCATCATAATGACTTACAACGTAAAAACATAAATTTGGCAAGAATAATAGCAACTCGACCACTTTCTTGACCAGGCTAATGAATATATGTGCCTTTGTAAAGCCTGAACTGATCAATGAGGATCCCAACGGCCGATTTTAACCATTTCTCCAACAATACACTGCAATTTATAGAATGGTTATAAYTGTTGAGCAACTTGCATATTAGGCGAAACCTATAAGTAGGGAGTTCCAATCTCATTTATTAGGTACGCGAGATTATTATGCTCTCTAGGAATAGATCGTACTTAGATGARCATCAGAGTCTTTTCTCTCTATGTGATGTTTTGAGCATTGTCATGAAGAAACAAAAACTAACAAATAATTCCAATATAAATCTCATGAAAAGTAGCTTACACAGTGTGCTATCATTCGTCTTCTACCTCATTCAAACTTCACTACACTTGATTATTTAAACGCATTAACTAGATACAACATYGATAGTCGGGAAAGGTTTGGGCCTACCTATCCCGATATGTTTTTTACAGCAGCATTCCTTTCAAAAAAAAAAAAGTCAAACTCCGATTCATATTGTTCATAGAGAAATCTCTGATCAACGATAGAAGGGCATACCTCAGGGGCACCCTCGGGCAAACATCGAGGGGTTAAGAAACCCTCCTAATCCCAACAAGACTACAAGAAAATCATGTATTGGTCTAGGTGAGATCCAATGTAGATCCAACTTTCTATTCTGGGATCCAGGTGGTCCAGAGACCACCTTGGATCCTCTCTTCTCAATAATCCATACATCCCCACCCTTGGGATCGAGAAACCTTTTGTTTCTTATTAACCAAAGAAATGAGACAGCTTACTTCCAAGCCGGCCCGCCGCGAGGAAGAAAGAGATCTTCGAAAGCATCTTTTGAAATCGTTTTCAATCTCGAACTGGACCTGACTATTCAAGTGAGAGTTGCCGAAAGCGCTGGCAACAACAGAAAGGAAGGGTKTATGTTCCCACGCGAATCTCAGCAATTTGATTTATAATAACGATTTGAATGTAATGACTTGGGAAAAGAGAGAACAAGCAAGTGATATGCGGCTACGACTAGGCGATCATATCATGTCATTAAACCCTTTCTTTTCTTTTTAGAATTATCCTAGATGGAGACCATCAATTTAAATGGACGAATTAATTACGTGCCTCTGCTTGAACCTCCAAAGATAAAGGTACATAAACRGTCATTTTATCCAAACCTTTTTGTTTCAATAGCTTCAAAGTCAAAGAGGAAGTTTCTTCTAATTAGAAGGTTTTCGCTGACGATCAAACATATATACTTTTAATTTTATGCTTAATTTTKTATGACTTTAAATTTTAAGACCTAACATAAATTTTACTTGTTCCTTCACCATTTGCAAGCGACCAAGCAACGAAGAGGCATGAACAATTGGGAAAATGGTGGTTGATGGATGGAGGAAATTACATTTGAGCGTTATGCACAATATGTAGATGAAGTGTTACTGAGCAACTCAGCAAATTTGAGGATTTTTCTTAGTGATTTTGTTATGTTGCCAATTGRCATTACTCACTTTGAAAATTAAGATAAAAGAGAAGCTAAAGTAAATTCATGTGTTCGTAATGTGTTATACTCCACGTTATCGAAACAAAATATCTAAGTTTCTTCCTCAATATTGTGCTTAAGTAAATATGGTTGAATCTTTGGCACTTCAGCGCGCCTGTCGTTAGCCCTCAAGGTAAAGTTTCGTCCCATCCAACTTGAGACCGATTCCTTGTGGTGTTATTAGCTTTTGCAAGATTCTAAGGATCTTTCAAAGATGAGGTGTCTTCTTTATAGGCTTTATCCTCGTTATTGCTCTAATTTAACTTAAAATTTATTTGCTTTCAAATTAATTTAATTTGTTTTTTGTAAAGTTAATTTGAATCCAACAAATCAAATCAAATCAAATTTATTAATTAAAAAAGATACAATTTTTCTAGACTTATTTGGTGCCTTCCTTTCAATTTCACATCCTAAAGCCATAGCCCTCCCCAAGTTTTACCCTTTTTTACTACCACCTATTACACATATAGCTTATAGAAGGGAAGGGACAATGGAGTATGGATAATCTTCTTTCCTTATCTCAATTTAATCTTTTTCCCTTTATTTTCAAACTTTATCTTGATCACAATGAAGAATAAGAAACTTGATCCTCCTCCAATAACTTTAATTAAATGATCTTTTTAATTAAAGTTCTTTTTTCTATGATTTCTCTTATTTTAATTACCGATCGGCTTATTTTGAATAGTTCTACTATCTCCATGTTGTCGTACTAAAAAAAGTAGTTCTATCCTATTGTCACCTTAAATGAGAAAAAATCATTCATTTCTTGCCCATTTTTCCAAAARTGATCATAAATCTTATAAGAGTGACATGGTATTATGGCTATATGAATTAAGTTACTGGTTATAAGTTTAGTAATAATTTTAATAGGTTTGTTTAGGCCGAAATGCTTGACTGGATAAAAACACTTCCAAGAGTATAGAATTAAAGGCCAAAGGAAGTATAGCTTAGTGGTAATTGACATTTATCTCCAATCAAGAACTTGTGAGTTCGATTCCCCACTCCTACCTAAAAAAAAAAAGAGTGTAAAACTAAACTTATGATTTATTATTAAACACTTTGTATAAAAATTAAAATACTTAAAATTAAACTACTTCTACTGAGAATACTTATCGTAGAAGCATTCCCACGCACACACCTTGAAAAACAGTCCAAAGTGCTTCTAGATGAATCACTTAATCAATGCTCTTTTTCAAAAGAATAGATATTCCACGATCGCAATATCACATCACATATAATTACCAACTTGACACTAGTGCCAATAAAGGACTTAGTTGAAAAAACCGAACACGCGGAGGATGAAATTGCAAATTTTTAAAAGATTAGAAAGGAGAGAGAGAGAGAGGGAAGTGAAAATGAAGGCTATAGAATGAGAGGAGGAGAAGAGTGGGGCATGGTGGGTTGGGAAATGAATCTATGGTCTAGAATCTCCCAAACATAGGGGACCATTAAGATTATATATGCACCTCCTCTCTTCTTTCTTAATGAAATTTGAAGTGCCCATCTTTCTATCATTATGTCTATGCAATTTGGATATCACACTATTCCTATTCCTATTCCTATTCCTCCAATTAAATTTTCCATGTGACAATTATCAGTTGCCACATCAAAATTATTCTTTATTTCAAAAGCATGCATTGGATTGTTTTTTTGTTTTCCAAAGTCAAATATTTTTTTAGTTTTTCTTTTTTAATTAAAAGAATGAAAAACTTGAACAAACCTTCAAAATGGTTCTTTTTAGAATCCCTCTATGTAAAGTAATTAAATTAGTATTCTCCATCTCTTCATTCCAAAAACATGAAACTCTAGACGATCAATTTCTTTATTACATATCGGAATTTCATTTTGTTAAAAAGACTCAATTTGAATGACTTTTGTAARAGACAACCCAAATATTTRCTCATTTTGTTCTAAGTTTTATTTTTTTCGATCTTATTGCAATATATTTGGATGAGTCTCTCGAGAGCTTTTCTCTTGCTCGTTGAATGCTATATAGAAGGTTATTTTTCTAGGAAGACCATTGAATTGAGTCCTTTTTGTTTTGTGAAAATCTAACAGAATAGATTGAACTCTTATTTTTTTTTTCGTTTCGATCTTATGGCAATATATTTGGACTCTTATTTTCTTATTTTGTTCCAAGTTTTTTTTCCCTTCAACTTCTCGTGTATATAACCAAAAGAGAAACTCAAAAGTAGTAGGCCAAAGAGTGGATTGTTGGGCTTAGTCTTTTGTAATGTTGTTTTTAATCCTTGTAAAAGATGCACAAATGAATCTTGGACTACTTTTTTATGATTGATTTTGGGAGTTCTTAACAAAGTTTGCCATTTAATTTGTGGCATCAAAATGATTTGTGAAATGGTTTAATAAAAACATCACTAAAATGGGCCTCTTAGCCTCTGTTTTCTGTACATATATCTAAAACTAACAAACATAAAAAGGCCAAGAACATGCAAGATTGAACCTTTCTAAATGATCAATCTTACACATAAAACATCACTGATCTAAATATTTACAGTTCTTATTACCAGAAAAACATACAAATTTTTGCCCATTGTCTGATTTATAGACAGACACTGAAAAGAAACAGAGTTCCATTATGCACAACACAGCTCATTTGGAGAAGGCTATGGTGTCAAAAACAATCAGAGCCATTGTATAAACTAAAAGATCCATCAGCCAAACATGACAGGCAAGACAGCAAAACAATTCGGTGAGGCTGGAGTCGGAGCATTGATATTGAGTGAGATACTTACATTACACCAGCACCTATTTGTACATCTATTTGTACATTTAACTGGGTCCGAGCAGAAGCGGAATGTAAGAAGCGGTAGACAACGGCCTTGGATCTAATACAAAAACGATTAACAGTTGTTAGTAAGAGAAGTAGAAACATACTATGAGGAATGCATTTTGTATGTACCTTCTAATTCTATACGAAGCCAATCTTGTGCACATATTAGAGCTTGTCGAGTATTGGGGCTTAAGGAACTTCGACCAGGATCGAGCACTCGAYCTCCAGTGCTAAATGCCATCTCTGGTGCAATGCTCGACATTGGAGTCCCGATGACATCACGAGCCATCATGGACAAGATCGGGTACCTTGGCGTGTGGACTTTCCACCAGTTCAAGATGTTGAAATYGCAGTTACGAGGAAAGACTGGTTCATCTAAATATTTGTCCAAGTCAGATGTCACAATTTGACTTTGAGAAGTCTCATGAAGGAACTTGTCAAAGCCTTTTAGCCTGTCCCTAGAGTCATTACTGGTTCCAGGTAAACTGCTTCCAGGCAAAGCTGAACCTTGATCAACCATTGTGAAGCAGATAGAATATGCATCGTAAAGTTCCTTGATACCGTCGGAAACTTCCTTGATACGGTCCAAGGCCGTGCTACCATAAATCTGCGAATAGTAGTACTCTACCAATTTCATCTTGAACCTTGGATCTAAAACTGCAGCTACTGCCAAAGCCAGACTGCACATGTTCCAGTATTTATCGAACTTAGCTTTCATTTTTGATGCAAGGGAGTTCAGAAAATTATCTGAGCTCTTGCACCACTCGATTAATTGAATGTGAACATCGCAGATCTCGGGAAAATATATATTCGCAGTAGGAAATTTGTTCCCTAAGAAGATGTTCATGATTTCAACGAAAAGTTTCAAATAACCAGCAACACAAGTTGTCCATTCCCACTCCGAAACAGTAAGAGCTGATGTATAAGAATCATCGTGCTCCTGTAGAAGATTAAATGCGCCCTTGTATTCCAAGGCTGCCTCAAGCATGAAATATGTTGAATTCCATCGACTGGGACTGTCAGGAACCAAGTTCTTCTGATTGGTGATCCCAACTTGATGGGCCATCTCATTGAACCGCCCTTGAATGACTTGTGAACTTCTGATATATTTAAAACTCCCCCGAATCTTTTGGTTAACCTCTCTCATGGCTTCTATCACATCTTCGACGATCGAATTCAGGATATGTGCAGCAGAGCATACATCAAATAGTCGGCCATTACTCAAAAGAGGCCTTTTCTTCGATATGTGTTCTTTAATTCTCTTGATGATCTCATCATTGGTTGAACAATCATCAAATGTTAGTGCAAATAGCTTGCAATCAATGTCCCAGTCCATCAGGCATTTAATGATCACGTCCGAAAGCATGTCTTTCGTATGAGAAGAATCAAGTGTGATAAAATTCAAAAGCTTCTTCTGTAATTTCCAATCCTCATCAATATAATGTGCAGTCAAGCACAAACACTCCACATTTTCTGTTGAAGACCACATTTCGACCGAAACGTTAATTCTACCTTGCAATCTGTTAATCGTTTCGAAAATCTTCTCTTTTTCCTTCTCATAGATTTCCATACAAGAAATCTCAACAGCGTTATTGGGTAACACCTCAAACATCGGTTGAATGTTTTTGACAAAAACTTTAAACCCTACATGCTCAACAATAGACAATGGATAATCGTGCAATATGATCATACGAGCAAGATCATTCTGACTCCGCTCCTGATCAAACTTACTACTTGCAATGGTAACGACTTCATCCCTTCTCTGATCTGGATCATATTTTACAATTGCTGATTTCAACTCGTCTTTTCTCTGTCCTTCATCAAAGCTGATGTTTGCAAGGCCACCAGTACTATCCTTTTTCATTCTCTTGGCCGCAAGTAGTTGAGAAACATCGTAATTGGATCTCTTCAGACATCGCATCAAGTGATTTCTCAGATGCGTGGTTCCACTATTGCTTGAGCCACTGAGCTTCTTGTTGCAATGCACACAAACAGCATAACAAATGTCAGCCTTTCTGACCCTCTCGAAGTGATTCCAAACAACTGATGTCAACCTCTTCGGTTTCTTGATGGATGAGTCGTTAGATATCTCCATTTCATGGGGGATGAAACAAACCAAATTCTGTACAAGGTAGGAACTGAAAAGACAAAGCAAACACGATAACAAAATGAAAGGTAAGTTATTCTTTTCTGTGCACAGAAGAGACCAACATAAAGATTACAATTCAATTCCTCAGATGGTTAATTGAAAAATGGAACACACATAACAGTGACATACAATACAAAACAACTTAAACTCAACCAAAATTGTAAATAAATAGAGTCAAAGAATGGAAGGCAATTCAACTATGAACTATATGAATCAACTGAATAGGACTTCAAACAACAGTTTGAATCCAAGGATAAAATAGTACTTAAAATCTTAATATTCTCCCATTGTTTGGGCCATGCACAACCGGAAACCATTCAACTCATCACAACTATTCTTTATACAAGCACGTGCAGAGCGAAGAAGGAAGGAGAGGGGCAAGCCCCCTCTTTGTTCATCATAAATTTAAAAAATTATATAAAACCGTAACAGAGTTTTCTTTCTAATTTGCCCCCTTTAAATTTTTAAAATGGTAAAGTTATATCCAAAAAACAGTTAGAATGTAAAATTTTGCCACTCACTAAATTTTTTTTTGACTTCCCCCTTGTACATATAGAGATTGAAAACAACTGATGAACTGTGCAGGAAATAGCTAATGGTAACTGTAAAAAGCAATTATCAGTCACCTCACATTGGGTAGCACCCAATAGAAAATGATCATGAAGTTAATACGATAGACGGCCGATATTATTTGCTGTAAGAGAGATCACAAGTAAAAATCTCATGCTGATTGAGCATTTCGACGAGGAAAATGAATCAGAATTACAATGGAAAACAATACCAAAGCAAGAGAAAACAACTCAAAAGCTCTCGAGTCTACAACAGAGAGGGAAAATCCAAGCAAGAAGAATCACATTTTTATGAAAAACCAAACATGGGACAAATTTTCCAGCAGAGATGACGCAAATTCACCACGAATTCCCTCCAAAAAAAAAAACAGAAATTAAAGGCGCTCCAGATTACAAGGAAAAGATAGAATCTCAACAAGAAAAGCAGCAAAAGAAGAAAAAACAGCTGAGTAGGACCATCATTGAATCATAATTCGAAGTGGGTCTTACAGAAAATTGTTGAAGTTTCCTCCTTCGGATTGGATAGTCCGACAGGGTTAGGAGGAACGGATTGTGAGACAAAAAATGAGAATTTCGAATACGGAGTAGAGAGAGAGTGAAACCAACCGATGCGTAATTGGGTTAAAAAGATCCGATAATCCTGAAACCCAGATTGATGAAAAAGCGTAATTCGGGTGGGTCGACGATCGAGTCGAGAGCGAATTGCTAGCCGAATTGTGTGATGAAAAGAACAAAATAGAGAGGAAAAATCGAATCTCGAAAGGGAAATCAACCCAGATCCTGGACCCGTCAGGCTTATGGGTTTTCGATTTTGGGTAGTTGGGTTGGTTGGACTTAATGGCGCGGGTTTGTACCGCGAGTTTGCGTTGGATCGGGTCGGAACTGCGAATTGCCCAAAAAAATGGATTTTTCACCTCCACCCAACTTGTTTTAGAAACAGCCCAAATCAAAGAGATGTGCCACTTGCTTGTGAAAAGTTTTAGAAACAAATGTAAAAAGAAAAAAAAGAAATCTTTTAAATTATATAAAAATATTATAATGATACCTCTAAAATTAATCCCGGTTCAATTTATAAGAGTTGTCTTAGAGATTCTATAAGGTCACTATTATCGACCTGAGGTGTCTCGTGACAATAAATGTAATAATAATTGTTGGAGGYCATTTATCGTCAGTCATGTGTCAAACTCAAAGGTAACATTCTATTATTGATAATAAATGTAATAACAACTGTTGGAGGCCATTTATCGTCAACCATRTATCAACATCAAACGTAACCTTCTATAGAATAATGAGAGGGATTAGCCGCACCTTTTGGATTGGTGCAAGTTTGGAAGACTTGGCAAGCTATAGTTGATCTGAGCCATATGTTACATTTTGGTCGACCTATACTAGGTACGAACCGACCTTGAAGAGCACTTGCAGGTAGGAAGGCAATGAAGATGTTCTTCGAGAGCACRCTATATTTTTCGGGATGTCGGAGAGTCGTCAGAGTGCTATTGGAAGCCCTATCAAAAGCTCATCTYTGTAAATAGAGATTCATGCCTCCTRCGCAAGGTAYGCGAAACTATTCTCTCTGTGAGCATAAATCAAATTGTGTACTAACTTGATCGTCGGAGTGRTAACTTTATCTTGCAGGTACTTCAAACTTCGATACACATCGTTCGAGGTTTGTAGATTCCAGGCTTGATCGATTCACGATCAAACAAGTCGATACATAATTGTTTCATTTTCTAGAAATAGAATGTCCCCGCTCGCTATCGAGCATCTAAATTCTTGCACAGATTTACCTCGGKCGAAGTTATAATTTGACTTTAATATTGGATGGTGTTTSATAAACATTATATGAATGTCAAATTTGTTCATTGCCAGTATCCTCAAGTTCATTCACTCCCTTTCTTGCTCTTACTTGATTAACAAATTCGGTCAATATTAATGTAGATTGATTAAGCTCATACAACTTTCCACCAAAAAAAATTAAACAAAAAAACTTATGAAATGTTGCAACTTACCATTATTATAGGTCTCGTATCAAGTAAACAAAGCTTAAATAATAATAAAAAAAGTACCTAATCAAATCATCAAAATAAGTCTTTGATAATTTCTTATTTATATTTCCTTAATTTTAATAAATAAAAATAGAATTGCAGGTTCGTAACACCTATAAATTCAAGAAAGAACGRTTTTATTTATATATTTAATGTTTTGAAATAAATTAGAAACTAAATAAAAAAACAAAAARCTTGTTTCCAAAATTTAATTTTGAGAATGTTTCTAAATAATTGTCAAATTCTTAAATTTCTTAATAAAATTGAAAATAATAAATAAATAAAATAGAGAAAACAGGCTCTGACTATCTTGAAAGGAATGCTTATAAAAAGTTATTTTAAAATGTTGAAAAGAAAGCTAATTTAAACATATTCATAACTATTATAATATATTTTCGATCGAGAAGTCTGGAGTTAGAAATTTTCGGAGGCGGCTGAGGTAAAAGAAAGAGATAAAAATTTGTAAGAAAGAAAGTTATCGGAATTTAAAAGGCTGCTTGGCAATTTATCCCTTCCCCCGGTTTCTGATTTTGGTATTCACAGAAAGGCAGAGTCTTATCCACAATCAAGAGCAGAAATTCCCCAACTGAAACAGCGCCAGAGCTACAATGGCGATGCTCTGTGCTTCCTCCTCTACAGCCACCTTCTATTTACATTCCACTATCAACAATGGAGCCACGAGTAACAGAGGCATTCCCAGAAAGTCACTTGTTGCTGGTTTCCCACTCCCATTTTCGAAATCTTCTTTTCTTCAAACCCAGACCGCGATTACTCTGAACTCCAAGCCGGAGAGTTCGGTCCTTCAACTGCGGGCTCAGGAGCTCGATCGCGTCCCTTTAGAGCAGCGGTGGATGTTCGAAGGCGACGAACTCGACGGCCCTGTACGTCTGTAAATCTTTCAAAATGTTTGTACCTTTGGGATTATCTGGTAAAGGAAATGTCTTAAATCGCGTTCTTGCATAAGGCGCTAATGGGTTCCAAGCAAACCCACAAATCCTATCGAATTTTGTTATTCTGGAACTTCTCTGTGCCCTCAATCAATCTTGTTCTTTTGGGAGGGGGAGTTGAGATTTTGTTTTTAGCATCTCCACATTGCAATGTCCCCTTCCATTAATATTCTGGAGTCGTTTTGTAGAAAATATCAACAAATGGTTGAACATACAAACTTATTTTTGCTCGTCAGACCAATTTGATGCCCATTATCTGAATTTTGAATCCTTTTCCTGCCTTTCGGGTTTGTTTCTTTGTAACAAGCCTAGGTTTAAAGTATAGAGTTGCAAAATTGAGTTTGTGTAATATGTGTTTGGATTGCATTAAAGAAAGAATAGGTTATAGAAACTTAAGAAACTTAAGTTTGAGCTTATAAGACGTGGGTTTATGTAGCCGGTTGGACTAAAAAATCTATAGCTTCAAATAAATGAACTCACATATTAAACATAAACTCGACATTTTAATACCAAGTTACATAAGCCTACTCACGAGCCAAGTACCCCTTTCAATTTGGATATTTAGCAACCTTGATTCTTTTCCGTGCAGGACATATGGAATACAACATGGTACCCGAAGGCTGCTGATCATGTTAACACAGAAAAAACCTGGTATGTGGTTGATGCCACTGATAAGATTTTGGGAAGGCTAGCTTCAACTATTGCCATTCATATCCGAGGGAAGAATCTACCGACCTACACTCCTAGTGTGGATATGGGGGCTTTTGTGATTGTGGTATGTGGTTGCACTTATACATAATGTTCATTATGGGCAATGCATATGCTTTTGTACACTAACAAATTTCATGATATTTGTTTTCAATATAGTTACTTATTCACTGTTTCCCACAAATCAATACTTATTCTCTTGATCCTATCTAGGTAAATGCAGAAAAAGTCGCTGTGTCTGGTAGAAAGAGGACGGAAAAGCTGTACAGGAGGCATTCGGGGCGACCAGGTGGTATGAAAGTAGAAACTTTTGAGCAGCTACAGCAGAGAATTCCTGAAAGAATTATTGAGCATGCCGTTCGTGGTATGCTTCCTAAAGGGAGGGTAAGTAATTCCTACTACTTAAGTGCCATATGCATGAAAACTGAATTTTTGTGGGTGTAGAGCGATTGCTAAAGTCTTGATCACCCCTCTGTGTAGGAAAATGATGTCGAGAGATTATGCGGATAGTATATTTTCTGCTTTAGTTTGTTGACAAGTCTTTTTAGAAGTTTTAGTTGGTTAACTGAGATAGCTTTTACTGTTCCAAGGGCCTCACATCCTATAAACAATGGATTTTAGCGGATACTGTCCTATAAGAAAACCAAGATAGCTCTGTTCTGGTTGCTGTAGACTGTCAGTAATTATGTTCCATCTATCAGAAGTGTTCTTCTCACTTGTTATCTGTGAAGTTTATGGCTTCTGGTTTCGATATAAGTAGTTAGTTCCAAGGGCCCTTAAATCCTACAAACATTAGATTTTAGAAGCAACAGTTTATGAAAAGAATCTCCAATGATAAAAAAAATACGATTTCTAGTGGCCTTTCAAAATAAGTTGATGTCTACAAGAGGATATCAAAACGTGCGTTGTAGGTAATGGTGTGTAGAATGTGATGAGACCGAGTTACTTGTGGAAAGTTCGGATTGTTTGGGAAACTAACATATGGTCTTTTGCTTACTCCGTGGCTTCTAGCATTCTTTTGCTTACATTTAATAGGCAAAATCTTGGATCCTCTACGGTCATACTGTCACTACCAGAATCCAAGACCTGTACTGTTGATGGAGCCTGGCAACTGCATGTAGGGTGATTTTCTTGGCAGTATCCAGGACCAGGAAAACTAATWATTTTGCTTTAGCTATGTTTTGAAATATTTTGGTTGTCTTTTGAATACTACCATTGATTTGAAAATTGAATCAGACTTTTCATCTGGGTGGCATTTGCACTTGCCGTTTATGATTTTTTTTTTCACTGGGGGAAGTATAAACACTTCTGCGTCATCCTTTGAAGAATATGTTCGCGATGAACTGGCAGTTGTTTATGTGGTATATTCCGATGTCGATGCTTTGACACGACATGGATGAGATTTTACTTTAGACATCTATTGGGTTGATATGAGGTCTATGTCTTACTAGGACACCTTGCTTGAAATAGTGTAAACTGTCTCCTCACTTCTTATTTACTGTAAACTGTATCATATTGTGGTGTTTAGGAATTTCCCTGTTTCCTGCTTGCATTTATGTTCCTGAAATTTTCTTAGTTGTTAACCATGGCGGTTTATGTGCAGCTTGGAAGAGCACTTTTTAACCACTTGAAGGTTTACAAAGGACCAGACCATCCACATGAGGCACAAAAGCCAGTTGAGCTGCCAATAAGGGACAAAAGGATAAACAAGGAAAGATAGTATGAACTACYAAGAGAATGCGAACAAAGAAACAAAGCTCTCTTGCTCATGCTTCAGCTCAACTCGATTGTCGGTACTCGATCTGTAATTTGATTAGAAAGTCTAGTCTTCTCTGATAACATGCTTAGCTTAAGCGACATTTTCAAAGTTATTATTCAGAAGAGGAAAGTCTCAAGTCTTTGTTTTGTTGAAGGTTGTGATAATGATGATTTTGATTACATTTGTTGATYGTTTTCTCTATTTGGATAGTTTTTTCTTAGTGTAGGAATGGCCAGATGTCTTAAACAAAGGTGTTTATCTTATGTGTGGACTTTTTTAAGCCTAAAATACATATTAGTATCCTAAGATACCATGTGGAGATATTAAAAGATCTTATAAGTTATATCAAACACAATTATATAAAATCTATTTTTGATACTCTTTGAACCAACAAATGATAGAGGGAAAGGACTGTTTTGAAATTAGTAGAGTGTACAAATCATCCAACCACAAACTTTAAAAACTATTCTCTAGTACAAGCCGTCAAATAAGCCATAGCTTTCCTGTTCTATGATATTATACTACGAAGGCAATTTCCATTTGCTAGTGTGATGAAAAGCTGCACTTTTCTGGGCAATTGATACATATTACAAAGTCTGGACATTTACAAAATCACTAGAGAGAAATCATGAAATTCAGTCTAGTTTCTAGTATCCAAGTACTGGGACACATTGATTGGATAAAGATCGCTCACAGATGYTGAGGAACCTGTTGTTGGAATATCAGCAAGCAAATGAGTCCATGCTGCATTTCTTGCTTCCTCAGAGATGCCCGGACCCGAAACTATGTCCTCGACAGCCTGCTTGCCTTCCAACATGCTTACTACTGATGACATGTTGGGTCTTGCTGCAGGAGAGACATTAGTGCAGTGGAGAGCGATTTTGATCATTCTCAATGCCTCTCCTTTGTTGAAGTTGGAGCCTAATTTTGGGTCAACTAGCTCCATTAAACTGTTCTTCTCTTTCAACTTAAGTGCCTAGAAACAGAAGATAAATAACGGCTAAGTTGTAAGCGAAGTTTTGAGCAAACAGGTTAAAAACAACTTTGGAAATAGAACATGATTTAATGAACTCTGGTTAAGAAGATAACAAATAGAACAACAGATATAAGAGGTTTAGATGACCAAAAAAATCAAACYAACGAGGATCAAATGAGAGCTGGGTTAAATTCTTGTGGAAACTAAGGCTCTGCCYTCAACATTGGATAAAGACAGTTCTACAAATGGCTGATTTGACATATTCTTGTTAACTAACATGGTAAAAAGAAACTGAACATAGAAAAATAGCATTGTGTACACAACCAAGAAATTAGATTACCCAGTCTAGAAGATAAGAGAAGTCGTTATCTGCCYGGTAACTAGTGTTGCTCCTTCCRCTAACTATTTCCAATGCTACAACGCCGAAGCTGTAAACATCTGCCTTATCGGTCAAGTGTCCTCGCATTGCATATTCTGGCGCCATATATCCACTACAAAATTCATCACATTATGAGTAAATATTCTTCGTTTTAAACTTCTCAAGAATTTGATTATGAATTGTATTTCATGCTTGMCAGTTCATAGACACAAAATCAGAAAAAAAAGGAAAGGAAAAACTAAATCAATGCATCTACAAACACAACTTARTCATTGGGACTTACAAAGTTCCAGCAATCCGAGTGCTTATGTGGGTATTTTCTTCTTCATCAAGCTTGGCCAAGCCGAAGTCGGATATCTTGGGGTTTAGATCTTTGTCTAACAGAACATTAGTAGCTTTGATGTCTCTGTGGACAATCTTTAGTCTTGACTCTTCATGAAGATAAGCCAAGCCTCTTGCTACACCAATACAGATCTTGTGCCTTGTTGACCAATCCAAATTAAGTTCACTTTCTTCTAGACCTTCAAGTATTTCCCATAATCCCATTAACCAAGTACTCTATAAGTATATTGATGAATTCTACAAAAATCAGTAACAGTTAATCATATGGAACAAATATTTACCAAACAAGGCACGGGCAAGGTTATTGTTTTCCAAGTATTCATATACTAACAAAAGCTGATTTCCTTCAATACAGCATCCATAAAGCTTGACTAGATGTGGGTGTTGCAAAGCAGATATCATGCCGATCTCATTCACAAACTCACGATTTCCTTGCTTTGATTTTGAAGAAAGTTGCTTTACTGCAATAGCGGTGCCGTCTGCAAGAACACCCTGCATTTCCAGTGAAAGAATCACGGACTGTAACTACTATTTTTACGTAAGAAGACTGAAGAGACCCCGATAAGCGATTCAAATGACATTACCTTGTAGACAGGACCAAAACCACCTTCTCCAATCTTATTGGCAGCGTCAAAATTGTTTGTGGCGGCTTTTATTTGCCCTAATGTAAAAGAACAAGTCTGCAAATCCAAACCTCGTAACTCTGCACAAGAAGTAAAGTCAAGCTGAGAAAGAGTCCAAGATATTTAATACACGCATTTCAGTCCTATTTTGGTCTCGTGTTTATTCCATTTTGATACTTAAAACTTCTAACATTCCATTTTAGTCCCTCAATCATAAACAAGTATCGAAGAAATATAGGTTCTACCATGGTCAAGACTCATTCATTGCCAGGCCCAAATGTCATCACTAATCAGAAACTCCCATTACACTACACTAACTGGTCCTTGCTTTCACGATAAATTCAAGTTACCTCAGCTCTTCAATCACCAYAAAGTAGTTTTAAAACTACGATTTTGATATTATAAACATTCACAAGCTGGCAAATGTAGCCAATAAGAGGCGAAGGATGAGAAGCCTAGCCATTTTAAGAGTCAAAAGGACAAGAAAGGACAAGAAAACTAGCAATTTTAAGAAAAGATAAGTAAATATATTTATCTCATAATTACCTTGTTCAAGTGTCTTTTCCCGTCGTAGACATACTATCCACCACAGGATACCGATGGTCAATAATATAACAAAAACTGCAGCAGCCACAATTCCAATAACTGCACCTACAGATACGCCAGACTTTCCAGTTTCTCCGCCCTCTGACGGAGGCTCAAAGTCTACATGAATTGAGAATGATAGACAACATGAATCAGAGTGCTCAGTCAAATAAAGTACAAGTAAAACGAAACATTGAACTCAAATTAATAAAAATATATAATTAAGGCGAATATCAGCTTACCAGGATCAACTGATATAGCTGATATAAGAGGACCATAAACTCCCCTCACAGGAATAGCATTTGTTCCCCTCCCGGCCCAATAGAAGCGGATCTCCAATGTACCATTTGTTACGGTAACTGGGATTTTTTTTATGACTGCTTTATCAACGCCACCTGCTGCATCCACGATATTGAAATCCTCCAGCACCAGCTTTTTCTGCAGTTCAGATTTTATTTTAAGTTGTCATGCTAGTAATCATGAAAAAGTATTTCTGTTTACCCAAGTCGATCGGCAAAAGTGGGGGTTTAATGGTGAAAATATTTAAAGAAATTTCAGAAGTTAGACAACAATCGGAAACTTTCTTGATGGGCGAAAGCTTGAAGTTAGTTTTAGTACCTGAACGTAAACATCAAATATGCGTCTGCCGAGACTACTGAATGTCTTGTCATCAGTAAACATTATCTCTGCAAAATGGAGGCTTACTGTGTAGTTTCCATTTCCCATGCAAAACCCATAATAAGTAAGAGATAACGGAGAAACCCGTGCAGTCATGTACAATTCAGGATTTATCATAGACAGAGTAGAAGAATTTGTTGCAGAGTATTCATCTTGAGAGTCACCATCATCCATAAAACTACCAGTGTTGCTGATTGCCCAATTTGTTCCAGTTACAAAAAACATAGAGCTGCCTGTATTTCGATCTCCTTTAAAAACGGTAGTTCCATTTATCGTTTGTTCCTTGCCACCACAATTTATATGGAGAGAGTACCAAGCTGTAAGAATAGAACATGTTACTTGCTATAGAAAGTAGAGCAAGAAAACAAATCTGAGTCAGTTTCTTTGTACAATTCTTCAGCAAACCTTAATACTTCCCTTTCTATGCACCAATTTATTTTAGTATATGCCAACTAATAGCCCTACGATGAAATTGGTTAGCATTTTTAGTTGGGAATATACCACTTGGTAAGAACCTAAAAGAATTATATGTATGTTACAAGATAAAAGTAAAGTTATAATGAACATTATGCTTCGACTCACATTTTGAACAAGACGAGCCTGCTAAACATGAAAGAATTCCACTGACAAGACAATAGAAAGCTCACTAGTTAGTGTCATGTAATGAGAAAATTTGATAAACATTGGTAAAACAAACTAATTCAAATGAATACACCAAAAGGTTAAAGCTTACTAATCATTGTCTTGTGATGAGCTTGCAAACAGGTTTCTGCAGGGAAGAGGGGGTGGAGAGAGAGAGAGATTAGATAGTGTTCTACAAAAGAAGATATGCAAAAGAATAGGTACAATCTTACACTTTTTGTGATCGACAGCTTTCCCCAGCAACCCTGACTGTAAAATTATTATAGGAAAGATCGCTGTAAAGGAAAATGTAAGGGTGTGACACCTTGAAGAAAAAAAATAACGAACAAGTATTTTGAAAAAGTATTTTCTGAAAACAACGTTTATTGAACACACTCAAACAACCATATTTTTTTTCAAAGAAGAAACAAATTTCTAACACGATTCAAAGTATTTGCTAAAACCAATACAACTTGATTGAGTCACAGATATTCACTAGAGCAGACAAATGGTATAACAAGTATCAAGTTAGTTTTCGTTGACTACTGATACAAASTAAAGAAGACTTCATATTATTTCTTTTGTAAATTAATACTAAACGAGGGGAATAATGGTAGTGAAGTATGATATAAGTTACTTGTCACAAGAAGTTACAAACAGAAAATGAGTGAACTTCCAAAGGACCCAGTAAAAAATTGGAAGGAAGATATAAAACTTTTAAAGTGCAAAGAGGGATAAAATAAATACCTAATCCATCAAATAACGAACTGCCAATTTATTTACCAGGAACTGAGAAAGATACTTACATGCCCTTTCCTTTCAACATCCAATCAGGCACTGATCCGTTTAGCATGTTTCCAGTTAAAAATCTAAAAAGTTCACATGAAACGTAATTACAAGTATGAACCATATGCATTACAGTTAATTGTGACTATCTAAAAAAGCAAATTCTGATCACATTTCAATAACTAGTCTAGTTGATATTATCACTTGTTACATACATTATACAAAAAGAAGGATATTTGTTACATACATTATACAAAAAGAAGGATATTCTTTAAACTAAAAAGAGAAACAATTATATTACCTTAATATGTCCAAACCAGGCACATTGTATATTCACTAGTACAGAAAGGGAAAAGCTTCACCAGTTTTGGTTCTTGAGGTTTGAGAAAGTTTTACTCCAATTGCTTAGTTTCAAAATGTTACATTTTAACCCTTAAATTTTGAGAAACAGTTTAAATTGGTCCTCGAAATCACTGTCCTGTTAGTGATACCTTGAAAAGATACAATCCAAGTTAGATAGTGCGTGGCTTTACTTATTTGGTCATTTTTAAATGAGCCGAAAAGTTTAGTTGGTTTTCTTCTTATTATTATTAATATTATTTTCTTATGTGGCATCTTCCCCTCCTTTTCCCTTCTCCTTCAAGCTCTCCTCTCTCTACAAAAAACTAAGGAGCATGAAAAAAGTGAGTATCTGCAGTCTCGACTTCTAAAACTTGCATTTCTGAACAAAATTTCTTACATGTTATCCAAACCTTTAAGAGCATCATATCTGGTTGGAATTCGTCCACTTAGTTTGTTAAAGCTAAGGTCTCTGCAGAAAAAATTTAAAACAAAAGAATAAGAACAATATGATGGTATTGCATATGTTTTTTAAAATTCTTTACCTCTATTTAGGGGGAWCAAATCTTGATAGTATACAAAGTTTGGGTAAAAAGTCCAAAGCTGCTAGAGCTATTCTCTTTGTTTTCTTAAGATTTTCTAGCTACAACTAGTCTAGTCAGAGATGAAAGMAAACTTATACTGATTACTGACAAGATTTTCAATGATSGCATCCCATCCAGATAGTTGGGCAGYCTTCCAGTGATGTTGCAACTTCTCAATATCCTGTAGACAACCAAAACGAAAATTAATTCGCTGGTGGAAGAACTTGCCTTCCCACATGTTCTAAAGTAACTATRCAACTTACAGATTTGTCATGTTTTTCAAATTACTAAGAGGTGGAAAGGGTGACGAAGCTCCACTCAAGTCACTGATTCTCCTGCATTCAGAAGTTATAAAATGAATGATACCAAACATKTTGTTCATGAGGGAAAAGAAAATAGCTAAGAAATCAAAAGAGATACTAACAAGTCAGATACTTTTGTCAAGAGTCCAATGTCAGAAGGAATGGGCCCACTCAATCCACTTGCCTGAATGAATCTGTCATAATTAAACTAAATTTTTGAGAGAAAACACATAATGAATTGAGAGCAGGAAGAGTAAAATGACGTCTCACAATTCAGTAAGATCTGTCCAATTATGTATGAAATTCGGTATTGGGCCCGAGAAATTGTTGTCACCAATTCGACTGCATTGACAAAGGAAATGACTCAAGTATTCATTTATACTTTGAAACATCAAGCAGCTTAGGAAACGAAATGCATCGTTGGAAAAAAACTTAATAAGCTTACAATTCCTTCAATGTGGTCAGCTTTCCCAGTGACATTGGCAACCCCCCAGAAAACTTGTTCGAGGTAAGATGTCTACACAGCAACAAGCTTATGGTGTAAATCACAATCAAATAAACTATCAGGTCCAGGCATCATGACTGATAACCAGCTCTCTCCAAAGCGATTATAATAATTCATGAGAAAAGGAAAAAAAAASTAAGGTCCCATTTACTTCCGGGAATGAGAATCAAGGAAATGAAAACCTTTTAATGATGTTTACTCAAGTGTAGAAATGGAATCAATCGGTGGAATCCACCTGAAACTTAGAAATCACTCCTAAAAATCGGTAATCTAAATTATATATATGTATATTGGTACAACAATTAGGGTGGGAGGATTTGAACTCACCACCTCTTAGTKAGAGATTTGAGCAAATTACCAACTACCGCTGAGCTAAACTCATGTTGGCAAAAAACCGGTAATCTTATTCCTCTTCTAAAACCTCATCAATCTCATTCACATACTTTTATTTCGTGGGCCCTACACATTTTTGTTTTACAACTTTTACCCTTCCTATCTCATCTATACCTGATACCTGAATTCTATAACTTTTTAATTAATTGTTTTACAATCTTACCCTTTCTTTGTTTATTTATACTACTAATAATTTTTGTTTCTTTATACYATTAATAAACTTTCTTCTAATAAAAAAATTAAACTTTCTTCTAATAAAAAAATTACCTAACTTTGATGTGATTTTATTATAAAATATTACAAATTTTTTTAATGCATCAATTATTTAATTCTACTTTTTATTATTAATTAACACCAATRAAAATTGTATTAATCTTTCTTAGTTGATGCAATTTTATTTAAATTATTTTTTAATATTAGCTAAATTGTTATAATAACAAATATTTACTATCAATAGAATGGTAATAGAATAAACTAAAATTTATTATTATTTTAATGAAAAATAATATAAGCACAAATTAATTTAAATATAATTAGCTAAAAATAAGAAATGGGTATTCAAGTAATTGTCATAGATGTGATTCMTATTCCGAGATAATAAATAAACTTATCCACCAAAGTTCATAGACTTAAATTCGCAACCTAGAAAAAAAAAAGGAAAAAGAAAAATCATACGAACAATAATAAGAATATAGGTGCCTTACAGTCTCTGTATCTGGGGCAAATTTCCAAGCGTTTGAGGAATGCTTCCAGACAGCTGATTGATCTCTAAGACCCTATGCAATGGAAATCGAATTTCATTGGCAATGTCATCCAAAAAAAATGAAATGCACAATCAGAACTCACAAAGTCTCGAGAGTAGTGATGTTTCCAATCTCCTCTGGGATCGAACCCGTCAACCGATTTCCAAGAAGGGAACTGCAAAATCACCCACAACAATCATAAGGAACCATAAAATTTCCTCAAATGCATGAAAATCCTGCACACAGAAAGACAGAGAAACAGAGATTTAGGGTTTACATGTTGACGAGTTTCGTAGAGCCCCATTCTGGAGGAATTTTGCCGCTGAGATAGTTCCGAGAGAGATCGCTGAACGAAAATGATGGGGGAGATCAAGCTAATTTTAATCAAAATTTTGAGTTCAAAGAGAAGAAGAAGAAGAAGAAGAACTTACATTTGCTGCAGAAATGGCAACCGCACAAGATTGGGCGGGAGAGCGCCCTGAAGGCTCTGCGATTTGAGAACTCTGAACCCCAAAATTTACATTTCAGAATACAAATCTCTAAATATATATATTTTCACAAAACTTAGAGAGAGAGGTTACATGGCGATGACATGGCAGACTGTAGCATCAAGAAATGTGCAATCACAGGTGAGATTATTTTGAAAATCAGAAACATTTTTAGGGATTTGGTTTGGCTGAGAAATCCATCCATGGCCTCCATTGCAAGGATCTGCACTGAAATTCCAATCCCTTTTCCCCAAAATGTCTCCTATTTCCTGTAAAGCTTCCACTGAAACATTTATGCATCAAATTTAATGTTCATTATACACATATATACTACTTTAATGGACACTGATACTTCTTTTTAAGAAATCTTTAAGAATATTTGTCCTCTGGGATTTGCTTTTTAGACTACTTAACTATATTCAAGTTTAATCTCTTCCATCGSAGACTTGAATCTAATTCAATTGGTTAAGATATGTATCATTTGAAATTCTACCCACCCAGATTAAAAAATCAGATTTTGCTGATATATTCAAACTGAGAAAGAACATATATTTGATGTTGTAGAAAAAAGATTAAATCTTTACCTTGAAAGAATAACTCAAAACTCAAAACTTAATGATGATTTGATATGAACAACAATTTCAAAGTTATAATATGGTTTTGATGATAACTTAATTACCATAAAACTCAATAACATAGTGCCATTAATGGGGCAGTTTTGTGACTGTGACTGTGAGTACCTTCATCAACAGGCAATCTAGTGGACAGAGAATGAACTCCAACAATGAAGAAGAAGAAGAAGAAACCAATGGCAGAAGCAAAGAGGAGAGTTCTAAACAAGAACAGCTTCATTTCTCCAACAAAATAAAATAAAATAAAATGAAGAAGCAATCAGTTTTGGAAAACAAACATCCATATACAAAATTTTACACACAAAAAATTATGAAAGATGCTTTTTTTAGTTGAAACCAAAATCAACTTGGGATTAAAAAAATAAATAAAAGAAAAGAAAAACTTGTACCCTTTTGATCCAAGTTTCTCCAAACCAATTAAAAATTAGTCATGTACACTTTTTTTTTTAGTTGATGAGAGATGTATATATATATATATTATATATATATATGTAAATATTGCTATGTTTCACTCAATAATTTACAATTAGATTATAGAAGTCGACTAATAAGCCAAGCAAGAGAAGCTAAGTCGAATAATTTGTTCACACATACATATCAGTTTAATATGTTGGTTTCTTCAAGTTTCAACACATAAATATTTCAAGTAATTTTATCACTTAATTAATATTAAAATATACCTCTCTACATGCCAAAGCGAGAGGTTGTGAGTTTCATCTCTTATTAACGATCAAAATTTTATTCTACTGCAAATTAAAAAGGCATGACATTTAAAATCGTACTTGAAACTAAATTAATTTTAAACAAATGTAATTTTAACTTTTTAAAATTTAAAACTAAATATTTAAAATAAGGGGTTAATTTAACCAATTTAAAATTTCCACCGTGATTTCGCAATTCACATATTTGATTAAATGATGAATAAATAAAACCATATAGTGGTTAATCATGAACATAAAAATTATATTATCATTAAATTTTAAATGTTAATCAATACCATTTCAACTAATGGTAGAAACTTATCCATTTGTGATGTTGACTGATTCGAATTCAGTGGAGAAGAATTGGTCAGTAGAGACAAAATTACAAACTTTGGACTTAAATCAATAAAGTGAGATTTTATAAACTCAAGTTGATTCATTAGGTGAGAATTGTTAGGCTCTTGCTTGTTTATTTTGGTGATGCAAAATTTTATACCAACATAAAGTAAAGGTGAAAAGAGATATTTTCAAATTAAATAATAATTTTAGTTGACATGGTCGGATCATTAAAATGTCAAAGTCGATGGGTGATTATTTACTTTAACGTGTCGTGTTAATATTCATTGATCACTATAATTTTCTTGGTAAACAAAATTTGGTTATTTCATAAATACTATCTTGATTTAGTATACAAGTTCATCGTTCATATCAGAAATAAGATGAAAATTCAAATAAAACGAGTGAATATAAGAATAAAATTACTATTAACATTCTAATTCTAATACCTAAATGTTGTTTTAGAATTAAAAATGGAAAAAAGAGAATTACTTAATGATATTATTTTATTGAACTATTCAAATAATAAATAAAATATACATTAGCCTCCCTTCATTGCCCAATTGGTTAAAGATCAAATTTACTTCATTATAATAGTTCAAAATTGTTATAATTTAACATAGCATTAAAAGAAAAAGTTTTAGAAATCCCAACAACTGCATCACAAAAGTAAACTTATACTTGAAATAAGAAAAAAGTTGGATCGCTTTTTTTTTTTTTTTAAGCTTTTGCACTTTTAATATTTTATCTGTATGTGTTTAAAAACGAGTAAATATGTCTTTAAACTTTAAATCAATGTTTCAGTTTAGTAGGTACACTTTTAATATGCTTATTCGTCTATGAAATTATTTGTCACATCATCATGTCAACTTATTTCAGAGATATTAACGATGATTGAACCATGACTCAACTATAAAATCATATAACTACTCTAGCACCCAAATCCTTGTACCTTACCTTTCTTTTTTGCGTAAAAATTTATAATCTAAATTTTTTAAAGTTAAAAAACTCAATAGAATTGTTCAAAATTCTAAAACTAAATTTATATAATTCAACCAAAAACCCATAACCCTTACTTATATATATAGACAATTTATCTATCTATACAGATGCAAATGTTGTTAAGTTTGTGAATAGTTCAGTACAACAAATGTTATATTGGCTAAGAAATAGAGAAAAATCAATGGTATATAAAGTTAAATAGGATAACTATYTCCATTGGTACGAAGCATTTTGGATCAAATCAAAAGTAAAGCCGTGAGAGTTATATCCAGAACAGACAATATTATACTATTGTGAAGATATTTTGAATACTTTGGGCTACCGTAACCGTTGTTCTTAACACATGTAAGTATGGCTCAATAATGTAAATTTGGATAGCCCCAAGAATGAAAAATGTAGATAGYATTTTAGGGCAAGTTATTACACACCAAAAACTATGGATTCTATAAAAGAATGGGGCAACAAGAAGCAAGCTCCCTAAACATATCACGTATCATTAATTTGCTCAACTGGTCAAGGCACCTATCTCTGATCAACTTCGAATTCCCATCCTTACATGCTGTACTAAAAAAAAACATATCACATACCATTACTGATATGCAGTATCAAAAGTCTAGCTTCTACGCTTTATCGATGTCGAAGAACTTGGTACTCGGCATGTCCGTAAACAATGTAGCCTCTACCTTATTTTCGATGTCGATTATTTCTTCGTTCTGCTGAATAAGGGGTCCACATTGCGCTCATCTCTTTTCTCATATCATTTGGATCTGAAACCAACTCCTCCTGGACAGCAGCCTTACCTTCCAGCATGCTCACCACTGAGGACATGGTAGGCCTCGCTGAGGGACAGACATTGGTGCAGAGCAAAGCAATTTTGAGCATTGCCATCGCCTCTTCTTCATGGAAGCAGGAGTCTAATTTTGGATCGACCAGCTCCATTAAACTGTTTTGCTCTTTCAACACACGTGCCTGAGAATACAGAGTTAAAATTCACACCGAAGACCAAGCATTGTTAAGAATGAATAAATCACCACTCAATCCAAAAGCTTAAGCTGATGAATTGGGTAAATGTAATTCATATATTGGATATCTAACAAGCCATAATTATACAAGAAAGAAATCTAAGTTACCCAATCAAGAAGATAAAAACACTTATCCCTTGTTGGATATATAGTGTTTCTCTTTCCACTGACTAATTCGAATGTCACGACACCAAAGCTATAAACATCTGCTTTCTCAGTTAAGTAGCCTCGTGTTGCGTATTCAGGAGCCATATATCCACTGCAAAATAATAGGATTAGRCACAAATATTTTCTATATCTTGCATTTGTAGGATCATAAAAAATTTTACTTTCAAAACTTCAGACAACATTTATTATKTTTGGAGTAAATATTTCAAGCTGTAATTATACCAAGCGCAAGCCAACTTTAACTCCATAAATTTCTTGACAGCAAAGAACTTCTCTGATATTTGATAGGTATTTTATTATTAGAATAGAACTAGGGTATTAATAATTAGTTAGTGAAGGCTTCTTTTTATTATTATTAATTTTTTTTTTTTGAGAAACGGCTTTTTTATTTTTTTATTATTATTTTTTTAATAGAGTAAGTGCGAAGGTAAGAATACTCTAGAGCGAGATGGTTCTAATACCTTGAATGTAGATGCTCGAAATTTTAGATATCTGACATCTTCAAATAACCACGTTTGTYCAGAAATATTTGGATTGCCTATTTGTAGGATTTTTTCTGGATGATGTTGTAAATTTATGTAATTTTTCAAAAATGCCCTCATTACAAATATTGATATAATTTATAGATTGATTTAATATAATTTACATTTATATTAGATTTGTTTTTATTAGTTTAATATCTTGTTTTTTTTTATATATTAACAATATTTTATTCCAAATAAAATACTAGCACAGGGGAAAAAAAAGAAATATATACGATTCATAAAATTAAACCTACAAAGTAAAGAATGCAAGAAAATGTAGAAAAGTAAGAAAACTTAAAGAAAATGCAGAAAATTAAAAATAAAACAAAAATGTAGAAGAATAAAAAAATGAAAATGCAGAAAATTTAAATGCAAAAAGTAAAAAAGACAGAAGACTAGGAAAATTAAAATACATAAAATTTTAGACAAATAATGTTGAAAATACCRTATTGTTGTTGTTTTCAAAATTTTTTCAGGATTCTATTTAGGTTGTCCTTTTCTAAAAAGAGAAAAAAAAATCCATCAAACAACTTTTTTCAATTTTTTCTTAAACAAAAATAATTTTCAAATTCTATATCAAACACCCCTTRATTGCAAAATGAAAACACATAGAAATATAAAAAGTACAAAAATAAAATTACAACAAAATGTAGAAAATAAAAATAGAATCAAAGAAACAGTACGGAGGTCTGTGTCTTAACATAACTTTATATAAAAAAAATTATTAAAACTACGCAGAAAAGATAACAGAAAAAAAAAAGTGAAAAGGTAAAAAAAGAAAGCAAAATGGAAAAAATAGCAAGAAAGATAACGTGAACTAAATAATTGATGAAAACTGAGAAGAATGACGCAGGAGAAAAAAATAAAGTTTATTATAGTAATAAGGTTAAGTGTAAATATTATTGTTTTATGAATGTAGTATTAGGATGAAATCTCGAACTCTCATCCATTAAATGAGAATCAAGGTTGCTTCTTTGTGAGATGTCCGGTATCTTCGGATGCCTAATAATTTTAAGATATAAACGACCAAACAAACAGACCCTAAGTTTTTAAGGAGAAATTTATAAAATAAAATAAAAAATAAACAAAAACTTGAATTTAATCATAGTTACTCACAATGTTCCTGCAACCCGAGTGTTTATGTGAGTATTATCTTCTCCGTGAAGCTTGGCAAGACCGAAGTCCGATATCTTCGAGTTGAGATTTTTATCCAACAAAACATTAGTAGCTTTGATATCTCGATGAATAATCTTTAATATTGACTCCTCATGAAGAAAAGCCAAACCTTTGGCTATACCRGTACAAATCTTTTTCCTTGTTGGCCAATCCAGCCTTAATCGACATCCTTTGAGGTCCTCAAATTTATTATATTAAAGAGAGATAAATGGTGTCAATAATACTTTTATTAATAATTCAAGTAAAAATTAGTTCTGGCAAAACTTACCARAGAGAGCTTGAGCAAGACTATTATTTTGCATATATTCATATACTAGCAAAAGTTGACCTCCATCAGTACAGCATCCATAAAGCTTCACTAGATGTGGGTGTTTCAAAGAAGATATCAAGCCTAACTCATTCACAAATTCGCGGTTTCCTTACTTTGACATTGCAGAAAGTTGCTTCACTGCAATCATCGTGCCATCTAAGAGACGACCCTAATTAATTCAAATAGAAAAATGTTGGACTCGATCGATCCAACGTYAAAAATTAACAATATTTATAATATACATAGACTATACTCTCCTTATTATCAATTATCGATCAGGTGTTGAGATAGAAATCCATGAATATTGATATTGACTATGGTGGCAAAGCACAACCAAACTAAGAAATAAGATTCAGCCCATATTGGTGAGTCAAAATAAAGTCACCATGTTGAAAGGCACSATTAATTAAGAATCTTGTTGGGGTTGCAACATGTGCGAGTAATCCATGGTATATAGATCGGGTAAGCAAAATCGTGATAATTATGCCGAAAGCAAATAATATTACATACATTCCATCTTTACTCACCTTATAAACAGGTCCAAAACCACCTTCTCCTATCTTATTGGAAATGTCAAAGTTGTTTGTTGCAGATGCGATCTGGCTTAATGTAAATGAACCAATTTGCAGATTTTGGTCCTTCAAATCTGGACAGGAAGCTGCATGTTCCAAAGAATTATTATTATGGTCAAAATTAATGAGGTCGCCTATTTTCATCTGATAGGAGAACAAACATAGTTTCAGAGGGAAACAGAATATGTCACACTACATTTATTTGTTGTTGTTTGCACCATTGAACTCAAAATTCTAATTTTTTGAAATAATTCTATAAAAAAAAAAACATCTAACATGCACAAATAATTAATCTAAATTACCTTGTCGATGTGTAGTTCTCCACCACAAAATTCCGAGAGCCAAGGTTATCATGAAAGCCACTACTACAGCAACCGAAATTCCAACAATTGCACCTGCAGGTAACGGTCGCGGCTGCGGCGGTGGCTGCGACGGCTGCAGCTGCGGCGACTGCAACGGCTGCAGCTGCGGAGGCGGGGGCGGCGGCGAGTCTACAATTTAATAATTTTTTGATGATATAGCTGTYAGATTCGTTTGTGATTATACTGTTTAAATTTTAAATCATATTGTTTGAATATATTAAAATAATTTTCTCTCTCTAAAATTAAGACTGAAATTCCAACCATGGCACCTGATGGAGGCTAGTCCGTGTCATGAAAAGATAACCAATGACTAAAACGAGAGATTCATTTTGGACATTTTTTTAAAGYATGATGACTAAAACGAATATTTTAAATGTATATAGACTAAAATGAACTAAAATTAAAAGTACAGTGACAAAAAATGAACAATTGAAAAGGTGGTCATAAGATCGCGACGCTGACGAGAAAAGTGACAACGGTGATGGACAACAAATAGGCAAGGTGTTAGGATAATTGAGCCAAAACAGATGACTTGTGTTTAAGAGGCGCTGCCACAGACGCCGGCACTTGATGAATGAACAAGAGGTGGAAGTGCCCTCCCTAGGAAAAGTATAGGATATTTTGTCTTATAACGATTACAATATCTTTATCCTATCAGGATTATAATATTTGACTTCCATAAACGAAACTTGAGTGGTTGTGGGCAGTGTGTGAAAAAGAATCTGTATCTCGTGGGTTTAGTGAAGGTATTTTGAATTGAAAGCAAGATAGTCATTGTATAATGATTATTAAGTGAGATCTTCATTGTATAATATTCCCAACTATAGTAGAACCTACTTTTTTGCAAAAGACTGAACAAGTCTGAAGATTTGAAATCCTTGTAGTGTTAAGCTTTTTCTATCTCTATTTCTTATTCTTTTGTTATATGCTTTTAACTCGTGGAACGGAAAATCAAATAGTTCATATTTGAATAACTTATCGGAGAATCGATTGATCTATATTTTCTTCTCATCAATTGATATCATGATCGTTTGGTTCAGAGTGTCATTGGATCAACAGAGAAGTCAAGAAAGAATCATGAAGTTCGATGGGCCAATTTCGGATATTAGAATATGCAAATTAAGGATTTCCTTGCTAGCAAGAAGTTAAAAAAAGATTTGAAAGAACGACCATAAGGGATGAAAGATGAAGATTGGGTAGAGACGAACGAACATGCAGTCGCTATTATCTGATTGATGCACTGACGAATAAGTACGAAAAACACTAAACTAATGATAAGGTATATCTCGTAAGAATATTTTTTTAACAATCGTATGGAAGAGAATACTTCTGTCAATTCCCACATAAATCAGATCACTGATTTAATCAATTCAATTGTCATAAGTTAAGATTACTTTTAGTGACAAAGTGAATGCTATTTTGTTGCTAACATATTTACGGACATTAGTTAGGAGATGAATCTCTAAAATATTTAGAAATTTGTGATGCGGCAATTGTTGAGAAATGTTGAGAAATTCGCACAAAGGAGAGTGGAAAATAATCTACTTCCAGACAAGACTCAACATTGATTGTTCAACAAGGTAAAGGAAGGTTGCGTCCGATGACAGACAACAGACAACAGAATAATAAGATGAGGGATTGGAAGAGAGATGTCAAATATATTCACTGCCACAAAAATGTCCACRAGAAAAACTGTAGAATATTAAAAAAGAATCTTAAAAGGTACATGGCGAAGGCAAATGCAAATGCGGACAATACCCTCGTACGTGTTGAGAGCAACACAAAAATAATAGGAACCAATCATCAAGTTGAGTAATAGACAGCGTAGCTTCAGTATACATATCTTCAAATAGAAGATTATTCACATCTTTCAGAAGAGGCAATTGCAACCACGTGAGGATGGGGAATGGAAAGCTTTCAAAGACTAAAGAAATTGAAAATATACGATTGAAGACCAATAGTGAGACTGAGTTATTATTGTGAAATGTCAAAGTATTTTTTTTTTTCCAAACCACATTAAAGAAAAAACCGGCAGTTGAATTGGTATGATAATCCTAGAGGGTGAATATGATTTAATAAAAAATTTATGAACTTTTTAACACAGTAGACTCAATTTAAACAAACAAGTAAATTTTTTACTAACAAATAATTTTAAAACAAATAATAATAAATTAAAAATACATTTTAAGCCCTCTAATTAATTTTAGATTCTACAAACATGAAGAATAAATTGTAACGATCAATTTCATACAAATTATGATAAAAAAAATTAATTGCAAAAATTAAATAAGAGAGGATTAGAGAAATTTTACATTGAAAATATATAGCGGTTCAGCAACAACGACCTACTCCACTCTCATGTTCCTCTTGRGTGTTTGACTAAGAAACCTGACTCTTTATATGGTAGGAGCCTTAGTAAAAAATGTTCATTTTGAAACTTCAGCGACCAATTAGACACCTACCACAAACCTCAGGGATCAAAAGTGTTCATTTTGAAACTTCAAAGACCAAGTGGACACCTACCTCAAACCTCAGAGACCAAAAATGTATTAAATCATCTTGGATTCTAGTCAAATACTTGCTTATTTCATTCTCTGCAACTCAATAAAGTATTCGAGTCATCCATTCCCGACTCTTCGGTGAAAATTCATATTTTTCTTATGACATCCAGACTTGAGTTCTATGCCTCCAAATAACAATTTTTCATCGTTGTTCTCTACCTCTTCATTAGTATTTATGGGAAGATATCATTTGATTTAATTTRTTTCAGGAKAGATTTAATTTATATTTTGAATACATTAGTTAAATTGATTTTTTTAAGATTTTGCTAAATTTTTTAGTTTAATTTAGTTTGAAGTTTGTTTAAAAAACAGATTTCTTAACAACCCGTTTGTTTTAAGATTTTGTTAGATTTATTTTAGTTAAATTTAAACAATAAAATCTTGGGTGTCACTTATGGGTTGTGAGATTTTGAAAAAAATAATAGTTACAAGTCTTCAAGGATGGCCAGCAATAGATGGCCAACACATAGGGATGGTCGTCTCTTATAGACGACAAATTGAGATTTAGTAAAAAAAAAAAAGAAAAAAAATCCAACTACGCATGTCGTTTTTCCAATAAACGACTTCCACTATCACATCACCAAGTCATCTGTTCAAGAGACGATAAACTATTTCTAAACATTATTCTTAGAAATAATTCGGTCAACAATATATTTTGAAAAAAGTTGAGAAGAAACGTTATTAAAAAAAATGTCCTAAATTCCTCCTCTATCTGGTCTGTCATTTTGTTTTTTTCGAAATGTCATGTTAGAGCATGTAATACTGATTTGACTTTTATTTTTTCTAAACCAACGGTAACTTCTTTTTTTTTCTATTATTCTTTTTATTTATTGGTTAACCTGAAAACATTTATTAGTTAATTAATTTTAAATTAAGGACAAAAACAATCAACATACTTTTTTTTTGGTCAAAATAACTAAATTTGTTATAATTAAATACACATATATTATATATATACACTTTAAAATGTGGTTAAAAAGACAAAAGGTAAATTAATAAAATCTACCGATTTGAATAAAGGAGATAAAATTGGTTCATTGAATTAAACTTTTTCGAATACATAAACATCAATACCTTTGGACCATTTTTGTCTCCACGAAAAAGAAAACAAATGAAAAATGAGACCACTTTTTTGTTTTTTCTTTCATYTGATTATTGTAAATTTTTTGTTCTTTCTCACATGACCTCACAAGTCATCTCAGCCAAAGATAATAGTTCGTGTTCATATTCATAATAGGAGTAAGTTGTCAATGTTGTACTGAGTCAAGATCATGATTATAAATGCTTCCAATTTGGGAGTTCGTCTTTTAGAAACTGACTTATAACTTTTAGATGATTTTTATTTTTATTTTTTTGTTCTTAAGTTCAACTAGTTCGTCGTGTTAGTGATATTTTCAACTTATTCGATCCTACCTTAAAGTGGACGATGAATAATTGTGTGCAACTTGACAAGTGTCCATCACATATTTTGAAAGGTTACTTTGAGATATATCTTTGTTTTTAAGTTTAATGAGCTTGTTTAATGTTATGAGATAAGATTCAGTCAAGTGAGAAGAAGCGGGCTTATCTAGCTAGGCAAATCGAAGAGGCCCAAATAAACCGAATGATTGAACAAGGGCCAAGTAGGGAGCCAAGCSGTGCTCGGCCAAATAGCTAAGGCCCTCTTACCCCCTCTCATGTCAACAATTTTAGGTTCGTGTTTTTTAAGAAAAGCTTGTTTAATATGTACTATAAAAGAAATTTAGTTTTTAATATATATATATATATATATATATATATATATATATATATATAATCAATTGTTTCGAAACAGAGTTTTGTTTTCTAGTCCCAAAAACCTTGTTTAGAATAGTGAAAATTTCGAAGTTTGTATTCAATTGAGTTAAGATAATTTTAAAATAGGATATCCTAAAAAAAAGAAGATAATTTTAAAATATACACATGAATGCCATCATAAATTTCAACAATTTATTTTTGTGTTTGAAATTATTGGACTAATACTTCCAAAGCAATTTTCTAAAAATAGAAAACAAAATAAAGAATTTATTTTTCCAAGCCACATTAAAGAAAAAAGAACCGTAATTAAACATATATACTTTTCAACTAAGTAAAGAAAAAAGAAAGAAAGAAAGTGTGAGATAAATTAATAAAATCTACCTATTTGAATAAAGGAGATAAGATTTTTGATCTAGTTAGACATCAATAGCTAAAACGAGCATAGCTCGACGCTCGGAAGGAATTAGTATCTATTCCGTCCTCARGTAAGAGGTTAAAAAAACAATTTATACATCAATATATAAATGTTATTACTATTATTATTATTTTAAAAGAATATATAAATATTTTGAGTAAATAAAGACAACTATTTATTTTTTACTTGGGACCATTTTCCTTCTCACTCCCACATAAAATTCAATTTTATAACGATATTTATAAATTTCAAAGCTATGACGACCAAGAGGCCTACTGTGGTACTTGACCTCACAAGTCAATAGTCACACTAGGTTGGAAATAATATCCTAACGTGTTTTATAGTACAATACGTGAAGTGAAAATTTGAACTCACGACCTCTTAGTTATAAATATATACCTAAACCAATTGAGCTATGTTTAAAGAATTCTATAACATTCTTAATTTTAAGATTAATTGATATTTTTCAATAATTCAATATTTGAAAAAAAAAAACATCTACACAACACAATGATCACCACTAAATTCGTCCAAATAAAATATATGTAATAAATACAGAAGTACTAATATAAGATTTATGATTTGCTTAGGAAGATACAAAATACCTATTTCTTATAAGAAAAGAAATGTTTCCTTTTGTAAGTTTCTTAATTTCAATTATCTTTTCAAGAATATCTATCCACATCACCATCAAATTGAGCTATTGATATTATAATTTTTAT